ATGGAGCCCGCGGGGCTGTGGTGGCCAAGGCAGAGGAACGAAAGGACAGCAGCCAGCGGTGACAGCGAGGTCTTGTTCGAGGAGGGGTCCAGGCAGTAGGGCAGCTGCAAATTGTGGGAAGGGTCCTGCGCATTGCTGTGCTGCAAAGTCTTCCATCCATTCCAGACTTCATAGCAACTTCACAATGCATCCATCTAAGCCCATAGCAAAGCTGAGGATTACAAAAACACCCACCAATTACGAAATCTGGCTGCATCCCTCAGCTCAACCAGCCTGTGATGAGTGATTGGGAATATGGTGTCTTGCTTATGGAAAAGATTTTGCCGGGTCCTCTTACGAGCTTCCCGAAGTCACCTGAATGGGGCAAAAGCACATCTTCCCTTCTCTCCCATCTCCAGTTAAGGTGACAACATTGAGATACACCATTTTAAAAACCTGGATCAGGATCCCAAGCTGGAGGAATAGCCTTAGATGAGGGGAGAGGGAGGAAGTCCCCAGGGGTCCCTACCATTTGCTGCTAGTCCCCTGTGAGATCCAGCTTGAGAGGCGCAGCTGCTTGCACCCACCTGCCAACTCTCACAGCTCCTGCATGTGTAGTTCAAGTGAGCCAGCCCTGTCGTGTTCTGTGCAAATGAGCTAGTCCTGCGCCAGTCCAGGTGGGATGGAGGCTGAGCACCTGGAGACATCGGACTCCCGAACCTAAATGGGGTCCATTCAGCAAGCAGGAGGAAACTCTGTGGACACACCTCCACCATTGCCCAGTGGGAGGGCTGGCCCTGGAAACCACGCATGCGAGGGCTGCTGTCCCCAGCCGAGGCGTGTTGACAATTCTCTCCGTGTCCACCAGGGTCTCTGCCCCTTCCTGCTGATTTTTCTGTTTTCCTCCTTGAACTGTATCACCACCACCACCACCTAAAACTGGGGTGTGCTGCCCTCCAATCGCTTCTTTATGTAGGTTCAAAAGAGGGATTTCTCCCCCACCATCTCTGCCTTGACCTGAGATTCTAGGCCGAGGGCAGGTTGCTTTGCGTCTCGTCTCACCAGTCTGGCTTCTAGGAAATGGATGCTTTGTGCCTGCCCGTGTCCCCGCGGCAGCCATTTTGCGTGAACACCCACGGCACGCTCTCCACACGTGCCCGCCAACCCCGGCAGGCCCGGGACCCCTGGCCTCAGGTCTACTGCAGCGACTCCGGGGCAGTGGGCGGAGAGCTCTTCCCACAGCGCTCCAGTCACGCAAGCACTGCAGCCCTGATATTTCTACGGGCCAAGAGCAATCCGTGCGATAGCAGTGATGGCTGCTTTATGAGCCTGTGCAGCAGGGCTTCATGTGCCACGTGGAGTGTAAGTGGGTTGCCTCGGTGATTAATGCCTGCGTTGCTCTTGACATATTGTGTGCCGTACGTATATCAACTTCTTCTGGCTTTTGTTATGACCTACGGGGCCTGCCCAGATGCATTTTGTCAGAACGGATCATTCCTTCTGTGCCAACCCTTCACAGCAAGCGCGGATGGTTGCGGGCTTTGGCTTCCAAGTGGGAGATAGATCCTAGACTGCAGGAATTCGCAGCAGGCCCCCACCTCTGGATTTATTGCTTAGTTTGTATGTCCCACCTTTCCACTACAGACGGTGTTCAAGAGCCAGTGTGGGGTGGTGGTTAAGAGGGTGGGACTGGGGCACAGGCAACCTGGGATCTAGTCCCCACTCAGCTATGGAGCCTGCTGGGTGACTTTGGGTCAGCCACAGACTGTCAGCCGAGCCTACCTCACAGGGTTCTTGTGGTGGAGATAAGATGGAGAGCAGGGGAAGAATGAAGGAAGCTGCTCTGAGTTCTTTAAAAGAAAAAGGCAGGATTTAAATCTAATAATGCATAGATAAATATCTAACAATGGCATACAAAATTATAATTCAAATACAAACGAATCATTAGAAACAGAACATTTAAAAAGAAATAAACAACACTCACCAGTTAAAACCAAATGCTGCAAACAACGTACAGCTTGTTCCTCTGCCCTCAGCCGCATCACACTCCTCACATGCTTGTCTCATCTGCAATACCGAGACCGCCGTCAAGGGCAGCATGGCCAAGACCCACAGCCGGAGCCCAAGGGGTAGTCCATGGCTTCACCATTGCAGCCTGCGGGCCTGCCTGTCTCCCCCGACCCAGATGGTGGTGGTGGTGGTGGTGGTGGAAAGCTGTGGATGATCCAGGCTGCTTGCTCACCTACCTAGCCAGCGGGCCAAGAGCAGCTGGTGCCCATGGTGAGGAGAAGGTAGAAGCCCACTCAGGTTGCCTTGCCCAAAGGCCTTCGGAAGCTGAGAATAGCCCTGCTCACTATGAAAGGGATACCCCCCACTGTCCAGAGAATTGCTCTGCTTATCTAACCTCCAGCCAAGCTCTTCACTTCTCTTCCCCTTTCCTGACAAGCAGCTGGCACTGGCGGCAGCGGCAGCATCTCCAGATATAACGGGAGAATCAAGGCATCTGGGTTGGAAGGGACCTCAGCAGATATCTAGTCCAGTCCTTGCTCCATACAGGATGTGACTGCAGATGGTGGTCCGGCCTGTTAGTTGGGTGAAGGAGTGCCCAATCGAGCTCCAAGGCTGCCTGTTTCACTTTGCAACAGCTCTTCACATCAGAAAGTAGCTAATGGACCTGAAAACTGCACCCCTGCAATTTCCACCTGTTTGCTCACATCCTCCCCTCCAGAGCAGAAGAGGGTGCATCTTCTCCATCTCAAGAGGCAGCCCTTCAGAGAAGTGAAGGCAGTGAATGCGATTGTGCTGATGCTTTCGTGTGATTCCTGGAAATCAGGCAGGGGTGGGGGCCCCAACCTGCTTTTGCAGCTACTGCCAAATCTGCTGACCCGAGGTTCTGCATTTATTATCCTTTCACCCTCCTGCCAAGACACTGGGGTAGTGCAAACACTTCTCCCCACATTTTTAATCCTCACAGCAGCCCTCTGAAGGAACTTAGGCCAAGGGATAGTGACTGGCCCAGACACCCATGCGAGTTTCATGGCTCGCTGCAGATTCAAAACCCATGCAGGCCGTTCCTCGGGGAAAGTTCAGTGCTTGACCGCTACCAGCCACACCCTGCTCTGGACAGAGGTCGCCTGCAGGAAGTCCTGCAGTGATCCAGCGGCTGCTGCTCTGGAAATGACTCCGCAGGACCTGGATAAACCAGCAAGTGTCTCCGGCACTCACCGACGCCAGTGCGACGGGCCCCCTTTTCTTCCTCCTCATCCAAATTAGGAACATCAGCAGCTCAAGCAGAGTGATGCGTACGTATGTACGGGACTGCGCAATGTAGTGTTGGGGGGAGAATCCCGCTCGCTGGCCATCTGGGCAGGGTTGCTATGATCATCATTTGGACAGAGCGCATTAACAATGTCAATGGTGCATTTACAGGTCGCAGGACTGCTGGGCACCATTTTTAGGATTTTAAGTGGAGAACACGCAATCCGCAGCTCAGTCCTCACAGAAAGAGCTAAATAGCACATTGTGAGGTGATTGTGAGAACAGACGGATTGTTTGCAAAAGCAGGCCTCAATCACCCCGTCAGGCCAGCTTGTGCTCCATTTCCATTTGCACACCAGAGGAGCACTTGCCCCAAGATGAAACTGAACAAGGGTGTGCAAAGAGGCCCTCAGTATCCGAGGGCTGTTGCGTGTTCTGCCATTTCACCTTCCTTTAACCTCAGCAATGGGCATGCAGCGCTGGTGCAAGAAGGAAAAGCCAAGGGGCCCCAAATTAGAAGGGGACTTCAGAATGCAAAGCTGTGTCCAATTTGGCCTAACTTTGGTTTGTCTGATGGACAATGCAGTCCTGTTAGGTACTGCATTCACCACTGTGTAGGACAACTCGCATAAAAGACGAGGTCAACATTTTGGGCTGTTTTTCTGGCATTTGCCCTGTCAGGCACATTAGAGGATGCCCAGTTTTTGCTTCACTATTTTCGCTTTCAAGGGTCACCTTATACACCAGTATAGGTGCGTATTTGTCAGCCGGAAGCTTCTAGACCCTCATAACATAATTGAAGACCTCATCAAGTCAGAAAACTATCGTATTTTTTCATGTATAAGACACTTTTTCTTAAAAACATTTACCTAAAATGGAGGTGCGTCTTATACATGGGGGACCAAGAGAACCATGGGTGTGCTGCGGGGGCGGGGGGACGATTGGCACGATCGCACGCGTGCGCGGGGGGGGTGAGGTGGGGCACACAGGCAGTGGCGGCTTGTTCACTGGAGATCAGTAGGAAAAGTGGGGGGCGTCCTATACATGGGGGCGTCTTATAGATGGAAAAATATGGTAAGTGAATTATCCAGTACAGTTGGGCACTCTGGCACTGGTATATACCAGTACTAATTTTTTAATGATTAGTAGAACTGAGCTTGTAAATACAATTGTCTTTATTATCTATCCTGATCTTTTAAAATGAATATAATATGATGAAAATAATTTTACCTGGTGTGTAAGACAACCCAATATTTGCTTTGCTATTTTCAGTTTTAAGGGTCGTCTTATATGCCAGTATATATGGTATCAATTTCCTACCAGGTGTTATTGGTCAATATAATCTCCAAAATGTTAGAGGTAAGATCTTTGATGACAACAATATGCATCCGCATCCACATCTGTGTATCTGCTTTACAAACCTGAACTAGTTTTACACCTGTTGAATTGAATTGCAAGATCAGAAGCAAACAGCGGTGCATTCTCTGGAGAACAGGCACCTATTTCCCAAGCAAGCCTCTTGCAAGACACACAATCCCTGTTCATGTGGGTATTGCCCTCCGTGGAATGCCAGGGAAGGCACTGGGCGACGCAAGGGCGCCCCTGTGGTTCCACTGGGCAGAGGCAACATGAGCAGAAGCACCTCCTCCCCAGCCTTCCCCGCAGCCCAAGCCCTGCTCTCTTGAGGTCCTGGAGCAAAGGAAAAAAGCAGCTTCTCCTTCCCTTGGGTAAAGGGACGAGGTGAAAGCACAGCACAAGACTGATCCTACTGGCAACCAGCTACTTTATTTACCCCCAGCCCTGCCAACAAAAGCATCGATCACAAGGTACATTAAAACAAAGGCAATGAGTGTCAACATCATTCAAATTAAACAGCTGTTCAAACAATCAATAGTTGTCACCATGAGGAATCAAAAGGACCAGCATGTTAGATCCTAAGAAATGTACAAGCTAATCAAAGAACAATCAAGTGAGATACAAAAGCAGAGATAATATATTGAACAGGCAGTGAAATCTGTTTCAACAGACTTTGGCCAAACAGGACAGACTTTGGGCAGCACGTAAAGATTGCACAGAGTGCCAGGAAGATTCTTAAGCAAGAAGCTCTGTATTCAACCCCTCAGTTGATGGGTAGGAGCTGCTATCGGACAAACCCCACCCAACTTAGCTTACAAAACTGACAGCCTTGCCCGTTTCCCTTCATAGACACCATGTCAGACTCTGCCCGCTCTGCGGAGTACAGTAACTTTGGCATCTGTGCCCTATTGGCGTACACTCCACCAGCCACCCGTTGGCCTTTGAGCTGGCCCGGATTGACTCTTCTTATATTCGTATACTTTCTCCCCACCCCTACCGAGACCATCACATTTTTTCTGAAATGGAAGGCCAGAATGTCGTCTATCTTGCTTCAAGAGGTGCACCTCCTCGGGAGCGTCCAGCAGGCCAGGGACAAGCAGCTCTCAGGGTGCAAGCGGCACTTTCGTTTCCAACTAGAACCCCAAAATCCACCTTGTGCAAGATGCACACAGAATCCTGAGCCCAGGAATCTGAGTTCAGTCCTGCCAGAAAAATTCCATCAGTTACTACAGGCCTCCTTCAGTAGTGGACGTGTGTGTGCGTGTGTGTGCGTGTGTGTGTGCGCGCGTGTGTGTGCTTGTTCCCTAAATCACTGGGAGTCAAAAAGCATTGCCCATCTACTGCCATCACCTACAGATCTGACTCGCCGGATGCTCCCTGCCCACGCCCTTCAAGATGAGCACAAAGGAAGAGCAAGGTGGACGCAAACCTGACAGTGAGCAGACCAGGTCAAATAAAACATCTTCCTTTAAAAGTTGCAGAGGGCAAAAATTTGGAGAAGGCGGGAAGGGATGACTAACGGTTCGGCTGCAGTGTTCGAAGGCCTGCTTCAGAGTCTAAAAGCAGGACCTACTCCCGAGTACATCTGCCTGGGACTGCACCGGTGCGGAGGAATTCTGCTCTCCACAAGTCCGAGGCTCAGCCAGCAGGTGGCTGCCAGAACGGGAGGAATGGCAGGGGCCATCTCCTCCCCTAGGCCTTGCTTTCTGTCCCTTTTTCGCAGAAGTGCTTTTGAGCGTGTGCACTGGGAAGACGGTGCCAGGAGGGGGCGCTATGGATCCCCGTCCCTTCAGTGGCATCCTTGCTGGCAGCCGCTGCTGTGCTTTGCATGGCCCTCCCCACTTGGATTTCGTCCTCCGAGGTCATACCAGTCCCTATGGACTTAGAGGGGGACCCCAAAATGCTCCACAGCCCCTCAAATCTTTTCCAGAGGCCCCAGAAGACCTTCAGTTTTTCAGAACAATATTTACTTAAATGTTAAAATGCACTTACGAGATACCCCCAAGCATTTGTGCTTGGACATGAGGCCTTGGAAATTCTGCTGCCATTTGCCCTCGCAGCTGGCTACTAGACAAGGGGGCAGAAATTGCAGGGGGACCCTCCCCCTGGTATTATGGAACACCAGGTCCCATCAGCCCCAGCCAGCCTGGCTACACCAGGATAGTCGCAGGCTTCACCTCCCTACAACTGCGTGGTAAACATTGGCAAGCACATGCATTCACGAGCTGCACCTGCACTGGCACGAGCGAAGAGGCTGCTTCCGAGAGGAACGCCTTGCAAAGAGCCCCTCCAACCCAAGTTTGCTTCCTGAGGGCGACACTTCCTTGAGGGCAGTTTGCAAATTGCTGCATTTTGGCGGGAGCTGTTGCTGAAGCCCAGGGTGAGTGGCTCACCACTTCTCTTCTCTTCCCATCACCTTTTCTCTTTTTTTGCTGCCAACCTACTCCCGCTTCTGGCCAGAAGCCTCTACTCAGGATTCTCGAAATCAGGCGGAGGACAGCACAAAGACTTAAAACTGCAGGTTGAGCACCCCTGATGTAAGAGCAGGTCTTGACCCACAAAATCTAGAGATGTTGCCAAGTTCCTTCCATCCTTGAGCTGCCACACAAAATCAGGCCCTGGAGTGCATGTCCCAGATTATTCATCTTGGGAAAACCATGTATTTAAAACCCAAGACCTCACACTACAGTTTCCAGGATTCCTTGGTAAAACTTTTGTCTTAAAACGTTGCCTGTAGCTTCAAGTCTCCATCATAAACATGACTCCTGTACACGCACTCTTAGTTGGTAGAAAAACGTGTGGACATTCCTGCACTCTGGGCACAGAGCTCTTCCATGCCAGCCAGAAGCCTCCATCGAGGTGGCTCACTCCAGGCTCCGCAGGGGTACATCTTGAGCAAAGAGCCCGAATCATCATGATTATGACAGTAATATTAATAATGAATTTCCGCTATTAATCAGAAACGCACTGCTCCCTCAATCCCAGCTATAAAACCCACAGATCAGGGAAATCTCAGGCTGGTTTAGCAAAGAAGACGGCACCTCCAGGCCAAAGAGAGGAAGTAACACTAACCGAAGGGGCAACCGAGGAAGGCCCTGATTTGGTGGGTGATGTTTTGGTGACCTTGAGCCCACAGTGGCCTTCAGGACAATGCGCTCGCAGTTTTCAAGGGACGGGACATTATTTCCAATCCCTCCCTCCCCTCCAGATTTACTGCCCCATCCGCCCCCTGCCCTCATTCAAATTTTGACTTGGCACATCTCCCTCTTCCCCGGATATTCAGGAGAAGCAGAAGACCCAAGCAGACGGTGGCTGGAGTACACATGGCAATGGGTTCCTTCAAAACCAAGAGCGTGTAGATGGCACCTGCAGAAGGAGGGAGAGAGCAGAGAGGCTCAAAATTACACAAATAAATCCCAGCAAAGCAAAGCAACGCACAAAACCCCAGTGAGTATCTTTTGCTGTCTGCACACTTGTAGGACCAGCTGCTTGTGCAAAGGCCTCTTCTTGTGCCTGGAATTATCAGAAACGGAGCTGTCCCAATCTTCTACTTTCAAAGTTATTTTTAGAACGGCCGATGTTCCACTGTGCACAGTAGCCACACCAGACACTGCCCTGGGAGATTTCCACCCTGAACCCCAGCAATTTCTAGTCCTGGTCCTAGTTCTGCCTGGTTCCATTCATTGTATGATATGCTTTTAATGTTATTTTCACCATGTATCGTAACAAATATATACACACACACAAATGCATGAGACACCCTTGCAGCTGAAAAATTCCCAGGGGCACTAAGCGATGTAAAATAAAGTAACTGGCAATCAAATCAGACTACATAAAAGAAATCAAGGAATCAGCAATAGAGATGATTTGTGGCGGGAATGTAGAAAATCAATAAAACAGTCAGACTGAAGAAAGCTAGATAATATGATGGCAAATAAGAGATAAATAGGTCTTGGCTCAACACCAGAAATACACTGGGTTCAAGGGAATGGAAACAGAGACCCTGCCAAGGCCCAGCTCGTCCTGCTTATGCAACACCATAAACCATATTAGACACCAAGCTGCCTGAAGCAGATTCCTGGCTTTTTGAAGCCCCAGTCCAGCCCTTCTCAGCACAGAAAGCTGTTTGACAGCAGCACTTGGCACTCCTGGCCAGCAGGGCAATGGGAATGATGGGGCCAGCAGTGCGATGCATGCAGACCCCGTCTGCCTAGGGAAGGGTGCTGGAAACACCACAGGGTTGCATGCTATTCGTAGTCTTGCCACCACCCCACCCCAGCCCTGTGTGGCCCTTTCGCCAGGCAGCGCCCCACTTTCTTTCTCCCCAGATGCCCTCTGCTGGGTCCCGTATATCTCTGGACAAGCTCACCTAGAGCAAGTCAGGAGCTGGATAACACAAATCTGACAACCGTTTTAAAAGAAGCAGAGCTGATAACATTGGCCAGAGCAAGAAATGGCACGTTTGCAAAACAGTCCCAAGCAATTGCGATCATGCAGATAAGCGTTAATTAAGGTCACGGTTTCAGTTTTAAAAGATGACAAGACACACGCGAAATCTCCAACTGCCTGCAAGCTTGGCCCCGGAGCCCCTCAACTGGATGGTGAAACTGATGGCTAGTGAGCCTCTGGTGCCCCCTGCTGGAATAAACACACAGTGGCACTGCCTAGTTCCTCAAGTGCTCAGAACGGGGACCGGCAAACCAGAGGCCCTCCAGTTGTTGCTGGATTGCAATTCCCATCATCCTTGATCATTGACTGGGCCTGCCAAGAGATGAGTCCTACATTTGGAGGGCCACACTGCCACCCTCACCCCAGCTCTGGAAGTTGGGTGACTTTTGACCAGGTTATCATTTATAACTGTTAAGAATTGATAGAGGAATCCTGCACCTTGAATAATGCTGTAGAAAAGGGACATTTCAGCAGGGAGAGATCGCATGAAGAAAGAACACTAGAGGAGCCATGACAGTCTGGCCACAGGCCCACTGAATCCAGCAGCCTGCTCACATGATGGTCATCCAGAGGCCCACATGCCATACTGAAAGGGGACCTGGCTTCCCTGCCTAAAGCCCCGGTCTAGCCTAGATTGAAAATGGCTCTCTCGACACACAGGAACAGAGTCCTTCACCAGACCTGCGCCCAACCCTCTCCTCCTTTTAGAAATGAATGAACCATGGATGGGATGCCCGTACCTATCATGACAATGGTGAGTACAAAATTACTGAGTTCCTGCAGCAGCTGGGGCCCAAAGGCCAACAGTAAACCTGCCACCACTTCTATCCAGCCCACCACTTCCATATAGTGGGCCGGCTCCGGCTTGTAGCCAAATTCCTTCAGGGGGAAGACATCCGCAAACTGCACAAACTGAGATTTCTGGAACAGAAAGGGAAGAAGTGTTAAATAAGGCAGGGGCTGGGGCTAACAAGGGGGAGTTCAAGGGTCACCCCACTTTGTCAAGGACCCCAGAACCCAGGCAGCTGAAGAAACAGGAAGGGTGCATGGTTTCCTGCAGAAACAAAAGGCGGTTGGCTTGCTGGGGTAACTGGTCCCTGTGAACGTGGGCCAAACAAAGCAGAACCGACCTTATCTTAATTGGATAACCCCATTTGCATGGAAGGCCTTTCTCCTTCTGGTCCCAGTAGGTCCCACCAGCAAGCAGCACAGCACACCCCTGTAATCCACCAAACTTTCTCAGACTCTTCTGTGGCCCCCACCACCCCGCTGCATTAGCCATGACAGCAAAAAAGAGTAATCCTTTTTGTAGGAAAGAAATGTACCAGGATGGGATTTTGCTTTTAAAACAAGGCACATGCTTCCCACATGCTTCACTTCCAAGAAAAACGCCCAAGTTTCTTCCCACCATACCGTCCCATCGGAGTGAAATGACAATGGGGAGTATGCAGACCCCCCACCCCAACCCCTGGAAATTACCCACCCTGATTTAGCAATGAAATTGACAACATTTTCTAAGTCTTCCCTTTCAATGCATAGTGAATACATATTAAATTCTAAGGTGCTTTCCTTTTCCTTTGAGATCCCCTCCCAGACATACTACCTTCTGGATGGTTTTGACAAACATAGGCGAGCAACTCCCTCACTGGCTAGTGCGTGCCTTTGATGCCTAGGACTGCACACTAAGTTTCATTTAATTTACCCACCAATGTCCAGTTGTTTCAGGCCACTTCTCCAGTTTTTAGCATTAATGCTGATGTTCATTTAATGGGCCTTAATCCCTATTAAGTGTGTATAACACACAATCAGCATTTCAGTGTGCTCCCCAGGTTGACACCATATCCATGCTTTGCAATTACTCTGACATGCCTGATGTGTGAGCCAAACAAAACAAAGCAACTCTGTCTCCCAACTGTGATTTAAAATTTTTGAGCATATCCAGTTTTATGCATTTATTTATAAATAAATGTATAACTGTGCTCCCCTCCAGAAAAGTCAAAGCAGCTTACATCATTCTCCTCTCCCTGCTCTCCGTGGCACAGAGCCATCAGGACCAGCAGTCATTGGTGGCCTTGCCCAGGAATGTGTCCAACCTTCCTTCAGAACCCCCCAAATTGGTGGTCACCAAAGATCTTACCAAGTCTGAAGAAGCCCTTCCTCTGGTCGCCCTGAATTCTCCTCCCACCCACTGCTTGGGATAACCTCCCAGGATTCCAGTTTTGTAAGAGTGGGAGAAAAATGTCTCACCCACCACTTCATACACTTCTAAGCGATCGCCTCTCACTCACATTTTCTAGTTAAACAATCCTCACCAGAAGCTGCTCCAGCTTTCGGATCATTTTAGTTGCCCTTTTCAGCACAGTGCCCCCTTTCTGCATGCGGGGGAGGGGGGGAGTTGCTTCTAATGCCCTGGTGCTGAACGTGTTGACTTGGGAATAGGCACCGCTTTGTTCTGGAAAACGAACCTCTCCCTTAAAAGTTAAAATTGCAATACAGCATAAGGCCCTGCAACTCTGTCTGTGCCCAGCCAGCTCCTTCTCACTAAAAATATGGGGGGAGGGGATGCTGCAGTGACCAGCCCCAGCATGTCCACGCTGCTTCGCTGCTGCCCCATCCCCCGCCCTCCCCTGGGGCCCGGGGCGCGGGTGGCGGCCTGGAACGCTCGGGCCGGACTTCGGCACAGAGGGCGGCCCTGGCTGCGCTGCTGCTGACACAGTGGCTGTCAATAAGGAACGGCCGCTATCTCAGGTAAACAGACAAAGAGCTCTCTTGCGTGTGTTTATCGCACGGATCCGATTTCGGATTTCAAGAAAGGCCTCCCGGGACTGGGAAACTGTTTTCGCGTCGGGGGCGGGAGGAGACAGCGGCCGCTCTCCAGGGCGCGCTCGCCGCAGGCCCGACGATTCAAATCCGCGCCCAGATCGCGCCAAAACGCTCTCGCGGAAAACGGCCGGGCAAGGGGCGCGCGACTGGGAGGGGAGCGCGCTGCGCTGGACGGGCCGGTCGAAGCCCCAGCGAAGCCCCGCTGAAGTCGCGTGCGGCTACAGAGATAGGCGAGGCCAGAGGCCAGGACCCTACGGCAAATGAAGCCTAGACCTGGGCTGGCAAAAGGCACAGCAAGGGCCGAGAGGACAGCCCGAGCCCATGAATGTGTCCTCGGACGCAAGCTCCTTTGTGCTCGAGCGTACCCGAGGGCCACTCATGCAATGCAGCGCGCGCCTGCTGCGTGAGCGACCCCAGGCGCTTTCCTGGAAAAGAAAGGCCCCGATCCGAGGTGCCCTAACACGGGAGCAAGTCCCGTGGAGCATCGTACGAAATTTACTTTTGTGGCGCTTTCTGAGCTTTGCACTAAACTAGAGAAACCTCTGCACATCTCGGGTGCAGCCTCCGCTGGGAGACAGCACCTGGGAGTGAAAGGGCACCCCGTGCACGCCTACTCGCGGGTAACAACCGCGCCCACCCACCCAGGGGCTTGGGCCGCTGGAGATCCCACCACGGATCGGCTGCAGAAGCAAGCCCCCTCCCAAGTAAGCCTGCACTAAGGATCGGCTGCACCGGCCCAAGCCGGGGATGGCCACGGGGGAGCATCCCCAAGCCAGCGGGCAGCCCGCCGCCCACGCGCCCCGCTGCAAACGGCGGCACCGGAAGGGCCGATCCGCGCGCGCGCGCGCGCCAGGCGGCTCACCAGCTGCAGGTGGAGGTCGCCCGAAACGCGCTCGGTCAGCTTGACGGCCCCGCAGGCGGAGAAGAAGAGGCCCAGCAGCACGCGGATGGCCGAGAAGAGCAGCGCCATGGCTGCCCACTTGCCCCGCCCCGCCTGCTTGCTGCCTGCGGGCCGCCCGGCGGAGGAGGAGGAGAACGGGAAGGGGAGGAGACGCGGCCGCCAAACATGGACTCGGTTGCTCTCCGCTGGCCGAGCCCGCGAACCGGCTGCGGAGCAGGCACAACGCCACGGGCCACGCTTCCTGGAGCCGGCGGCCGTCTGCAGAAAGCGAAGGGCTGCAACGCGTGAACGGGGGGTCCTTGAAAGGAAAAATGACGGGATATACATTTGAAAAACGCGTGAGCTGTGGCATCTGCAAAACAACCCTCATCCCAATTTAACTCCAAATGAAGGGATGATGAAGGTGCAGCCATAACACAACATGGCACAAGAACTTTTCTCTTTGATGCGACTGACCAACGTTCTGTAGGATTGGGATGCAATGACATCTAGCTGTAACTGTGTGTGTGCGCGTGGAACAGCGAATCCAGACTGACTCCTCTCTGTTCCTAGAATGACCCAGCTGGGTCAGCGCAGACAAGATAACCTTGGCCTTAGGTAGTTTCTTACAGAACTGCTTCCATGCATATGCTAAGATGTTTACACCATTTTAAAATTCCCAGCTTTAAAATGAGACAGTCACTTTTCAAGAATGAGCACCCATAGTGAGAGGCTCGGAAATGCTTTTGTTTTTAGTGCTGCGTCACTTTAAAAAAGGACAAAATTAAAAAAGGACAAAATTAAAGGTGTTGATATGACCTACAAAGCCCTAAACAGCTTGGGTCCTGGCTACCTGAACGAGCACTTACGTCCGTATATGCCCGACCGCCCTTTGAGATCTGCGGGAGAGTCCCTTCTCCGGGAACCCTCCATGAAAGAAATTAGGAGAGTAAGTACCCGGAGGAGGGCTTTCTCTGCGGTGGCGCCCAACCTATGGAATTCACTCCCCAAAGAGGTCCGCCTGGCACCATCGTTACTGGTTTTTCGGCGCCAGGTAAAGACCTTTTTATTTAAACATCATTTCAATTGTTAAAACATATGATCAGGCCATGGCAACTTCTTCTTCCTTCTCTTTCTCCTCCTATATTTTTATTTTATACTGACAATTTTAATTTTATTTTTGTAAATCAATGTATTTTTTGTATTTTTATATTTAATGGTAATTTATTATGTACTATTGTATTTCAATGTATTTTATCATGTTGTAAGCCGCCCCGAGGTTTCGGCAAGGGGCGGCATAGAAATGTTATAATAATAATAATAATAATAATAATAATAATAATAATAATAATAAGAATAATAAAGTGGTAACTCCAGGGGCTGTCCACATAAGTTCGTTGCATTGCAAACGCAGAACAGCAATGCTACCAAGGGGCCTGTCTGATTGCAAAACCCAAGCACTGGAAACTTAGCATATGGCAGCCTAGGAAGGTATGCATGTTGAGGGTATTACTTTTTTAAAAATCCATTAATTTTAAGGTGTTTCAAGCCTGCACCGTCATGTTCAGCCAGTGGATGGCTAACTCTAGCATAGTGTCTTGCAACTGATGCAACTTCAGTGGGGAAGGGAGGAAGTCGTCTGAGGGACAGAGCTACATGGCTGCGCCCTCCTCTGTACTGTGGGGGCGGCCCTTTTATCGGAATGGAGTAGACAGACCCTCTGTCCAGTGGCTATAGGCTGCACCACGGCATAAACCATACCCGGAGGTGGCAACGCTTACGGCTTTCCTCAGCCAAGACAGGCACTATGTGCCCAACTGCATAACTTTGCAAAGCTGTGAACTATTTGGGAAGGAGACAAGATTACTAAAGACCAAGGCACCCATGAAAGGGAAAGACAACATGACAAAAAGATAAAAATGTGAATCTGTGACTCAGTTAAAAGAGTAAGGGTTCAATGATATATGTCATTACCTGAAAGTAAATCCCAGTGAAATCTATAGGAGATTCTTACACTTGCACTGCTAGAAATGGAAGGGGTTGAGTTGGGCAGATCTGAAGGAGGAAACAGTATATCCATTCATTATATCATTCATTACCAAGAAAACCTGTCTTCCAATAAAGGAAGTATATATAATTTATGTAATTGGTAGAAGGGATCACAGTAAATCCAATACTTGATTATTCAGAATTAAGCCCACTTAATTAGGCCCACTGAAGCCTCACTTCAGTGATGTTTACTGAAGCCTTAGGTAGGAAAACTGTTTAAAAACAAAAGGCAAATATTACAGCAAAATATGGAGTATCATATGCATACATAGTATAACCTATTCATTTCATTTTAAAGTGTTCAACATGTGGATAATGCTAAGATGGAAAGGGTTACAATGTACTCAATGGATTTTGTTTAGTTTAGACAAAATAGAATATTTTATAAACACTGCTGGTTTTGTGACCACCATATTGTCAAAAATGAAAGGCAAGTAGAAATAATGAAAAATACAGCTCTGAGCTGCAATCTTAGCTATGCTTACCTGGGAGTAAGCCCCACTAAATTCAGTGGGGCTTATTTCCGAGCAGGAATGACAGAATCTGCCCCAGTCATGCTCTGTATGAACCCCTGGAGAGATCAGGGCCAAACATAATAGCATAGCAAAGCTCCCACAGAATGCCCATTTAGAAGAAGAGTGAGAAGAAATTAAAAACAGCAGTCACAAAAGGTCAAACATTTAAACACTATTTAAAAAGTTTTAGTATACTAACCCCCTCTGTGTTTTGAATTTCAACACCCATCAATCAGGAATGCTGGGAGTTGGTGTCCAAACACTTTGGGAAAGGTTGCTATAGGCCAAGCTTGGGGTTCCAAAAAAACAAAAAGAACTGTTCAGTGAATCATTCCTAATTTTAAGCAACTTTTAACATTAAGCTGTTTTGCTTTTTTTAAAAAAAGTTTCACAGCATAGTAGTCAACTCATTCATTCCTGTGGTTACCATCCAGCATGAATGCTATTAATTCAGTACATGGAATCTTCATGCTTTAAACATGCATGACTACCGCCTGCGCATACTGGACCAGTCAAATGCCCAGCCCCAGGTATGGAATAAATTCACCCCTATTGTCCTTTAGCTGGTAATGCATTCCACCCAAGATTTATTTGTGGAGAGTACTGGATGCTTGAAAATGTAGCATTGTTTTGGTACCTGTTAGTATACAGAATTTCTGCAAGCCAGTGTCCTGGCAAAACCGCCTTCCCAAACTCTTCCTGGCTGTTATAGATGGCCAAAGCTTTTGAGCAGCTTCCCACCCCACTCTGCAGGCCATCTTCAGTACCTATAGGCTCACTGGGGCCTCAAGACTGAGCGCACTCAACCTATGGCCTCTCTCTTCCAGGAAGTCTTCATCCAGTGATTCAGTATCTGTGCCCTCCTTCCCACTGGGGACATAAACATGGATCTCAGTCTTTGGCCTTCTAATCTGGGGCAAAGAGGGATCTGCCCTTGGCAGTGGTACACAGGTCATACCATTGACCATTAAATTCTGCAGCCTGGGAAGAGGAGGCCTGTGAACAGCCAACTGGCCGAATCCTAAGGGTCCTGGCTGGAGGTCACTCCTGGTCTTGCTGGGAGACGGCTTTGCAGTAAGTCGTACAGGGCTGGAGAAATGGAGGTAGGTGCATTTTCCCGTCAAGCGGTTGCCTGAGCTCACATTGAAAGAGCTGTTCCGCCTTCCACCACTTTTTGAATGAACTGGTCCAGCAGGAAGTTCTAGGATGGGTAGTTTTACATTCTTCCAGCTGTCTTCATGGAGAGCTTTGTATCTGTTCTGGTTTTAAAGAAGAAAAAACCCACTGTCTAGATGACTGAATGTGAATCACAGCTTTTTGTACAATTCAACTGGCTTTGTCTACCAAGTTGGTTACTTAGATTAGTACAAGGAGTTTTTGGCCTTTCTAGAAATCTGGAGGGTCCCTGCTGGCTTATACCATGCAACGCTGGAGAGTAGCCATGACCATTTGATTTGCATAGGGAAATGGTTTAGATCTCTGCTCACCTGCAAAGGTGAACAGGTGGCAGTTGACAGTCACTGTCTCTGCCTGGCTCAGCTCCCACGATTGTAAAACTAAAATGGGTTATATATGCCGCCCGGAGCATACATCCAGAATTGTGCCAAGAAATACAAAGTTCTTTTGCCCCAGGCTCTTGATATAAAACTCATTATCAAAAGTCAAATTTGAGAAATCCACTATCCTAACCTCCAGAAATTTATCAGAGATAAATATATACACTACCGCTACTCTCAGTATATGCTTTACAAGAACTGCATGATCTGTCAGCCAACACTGGAGCCTTTGCAGAATCACTGGCACTTTTCCCATCAAGCAGCTCTGACATAATGCCTGGATTTTTACACGTAAGTATTTTTTGTACTAGATTTATTTCATGCTCCTTTTCCTTTTGGAAGGTAGCTTCCAAAAAGACTGGCGGTTAGGGATGTTATGGAACTTCAGTAGATAAAACCTTTATACTGAAGCACCAAGATTATACCTTAACCAGTTGTTTCCAGTATCCTGATTTAGTCACTCATCTCTTAGCCGTATATCCCAGTCTGTAAAATGGGAATATACGAGTGATATGCTGCACAGCTATTAATAGACTGAAGTGCATTGAAGGAAGCTAACTCACCTGAGGACGAATTCTGCCACATTTTCCAGTTAACTTCCAGCTGCAAGCCTGGTAATCTTCATGGGAAAAGCAGACTGGCAGGTACTGAATCCGAGCAGCTCTACTTGTGCTTAAATGAGCAATATTCATACTATATTCTGTCTTCATTACCACCCTCAGGACAGGGTTAAGGACAGATTAAGCTCTTTAACAGTAACAGGAAAATATTGTTGTCTGATGCTTTGCAGTGACAACCGGCTGCCTTTTCTCTGCTCTTGGAAGAGATTCAGAGCTTGCTAATGAATAATTCAAACTTGAATGTGATGTAATATTATCAACAGGGTTGGGGTTAATCTCTTTGACATCTTTGTAACAAGAATCCTTTCCTTTGTAGGAAAATGGCAGCAGCTGCAAAGTGATTGCTTGAAAATGGAAAGGCCTC